CGAGATTTTGCCTCGGCAACTGCCACTGCTGCACCCCGCTTGGCTATCCGGTACCTGTCTGCTGCCTCCGGAGACCCACAGACCAGCCACGCCCTGTAGGCCTCCTTCTTCAGCCTGACGGCTCCCCGAACCTCTGGTGTCCACCAGCGGGTACGGGGGTTGCCACCACGACTGGCACCGGCCACCTTACGGCCACAGCTAGCAACAGCCGCCTCGACAATCGCAGAGTGGAACAAGGCCCACTCGGACTCAATGTCCCCCACTGCTCTCGGGACGTGGTCAAAGCTCTGCCGGAGGTGGGAGTTGAAGACCGTCTTGACAGGTTCTTCTGCCAGGCGTTCCCAGCAGACCCTCACTATGCGTTTGGGTCTGCCAGGTCTACGCGGCATGTTCCCTTGCCATCTGATCCAACTCACCACCAGGTGGTGATCGGTTGACAGCTCCGCCCCTCTCTTCACTCGGGTGTCCAAAACATACGGCCGCAGGTCAGATGATACGACTACAAAATCTATCATCGACCTGTGACCTAGGCTGCCCTGGTACCAAGTGTACCGGTGGGCATCCTTATGTTCGAACATGGTGTTCGTTATGGCCAAACTGCGGCTTGCACAGAAGTCCAATAACAAAACACCGCTCGAGTTCAGATTAGGTGGGCCGTTCCTCCCAATCACACCCCTCCAGGTCAAGCTGTCATTGCCCACGTGAGCATTGAAGTCCCCCAGCAGGACAATGGAGTCCCCTGATGGAGCACTATCTAGCACTCGTCCCAGGGACTCCAAAAAGGGTGGGTACTCTGAACTGATATTTGGCCCATAAGCACAAACAACAGTCAGGACCCGTTCCCCGACCCGAAGGCGCAAGGAAGCTACCCTCTTGTCCCCCGGGGTAAACCCCAACACACAGGCAGAGAGTCTCGGAGCTAACAAAAAGCCAACCCCAGCCCTCCGCCTCTCACCCGGAGCAACTCCAGCAAAGTAGAGTGTCCAACCCCTCTCCAGGTCTCGGGTTCCAGAGCCAATGCAATGTGTCGAGGTGAGTCCGACTATATCTAGCCGGTACCGCTCAACCTCTGCCACAAGCTCCGGCTCCTTCCCCGCCAGCGAGGTGACGTTCCATGTCCCAAAAACTAGTTTTCTTGTCCGGGGATTGGACCGCCAAGGCTCCCGCCTTGGTCTGCCACCCGATTCGCATTGCACCGGACCCTTCATGTTCCTCCTGCGGGTGGTGGGTCCACAGTTGGACGAGCCCATGTATCCGGTTCGGGCTGGGCCCGGCCGGGCCCCATGGGCGAAAGCCCGGCCACCAGGCGCTCGCTCACGGGCCCCAACCCCAGGCCTGGCTCCAGGGTGGGACCCCGGTAACCCTCCGGGCCGGGTACTCCGACTCTTCATTTTAACCGCCATGAAAGATCCTTCGAACCGTTCTTTGTCTCACCCTTCACCTAAGACCAATTTGTCATGGGAGACCCTACCAGGGGCACTAAGTGCCCCAGACAACATAGCTCCTAGGATCATTAGGGCACTCAAACTCCTCCACCACGATAAGGTGACGGTTCAAGGAGGAATATGGTATATCCATTATTTATTTATTTATCCCCACGTGTTTAGAAAATTGACTTACTTAAAAAAATACTTCTGAGTGAACCGGGCTCAAGGAGGCATAAGAATGAAAACTATGGACTATCGGTGGCTGAATCCTGCAACAGTTGCTAATCAACACTACGGTTAGAATCCGAATGGGAAAAAACTTTTCGGTGACTAGATTCTGCTGTTTCATGACGCCACACTGCAGCTGGGGACAAGAGGAAAACGATTCATGTCAAACAGCTAAATATTCTCTAATTCTGCACACAGAGCCACCATGCGGCCACCGTGTCGCACTTCAACCCTCGTTGTCTTTGATTCTTTCCTTCATCGTGTGATTCCATCTGTCAGCTATGGCTCTTGGTCTCAGCACCTTCTTTTCTTCCTCTGCTTTCCTCTCACTTCATCTCTTCCTCTGTGTGTCAGAGTCGGCGAGGTGTAGATTCGCATGACTGCCTTTATAGGTCAGTGTACACACACTGAGGGCCCCAACATGAGTGCGCATCTGTGTGAGAAATGTAGACGCTACTGTGTTCTGTCACTCGTCCGCCGATATCGGAGAGCCATGGCGACAGAAAAATGTACTTCCTCACTACCGCAGGTGTGTGTATGTGTGTGTGTGTGTGAAGCAAGTGTAAAAGTATTTCTCATCTCACAGCTATCTAACACTTGCAGTGAAACTTTCACAAACTTGGGAATGCCCTTCTGGTTCAGAAGTGACTTACCTGTGGCAGCTGATCTAAACTTGAGAATAAATGAAAGAAAATGACTGAAAGAGGAAGAATAAATACTGGAGTGCTACTTTACCTCAAACATGAGCTGTATTTATGCCCAGCCACATAAATACTGACAAATGTGATCAAATTGATTATAGGTTCTTTTTTTATTTCTAAGCAGAATTCCACCAGTTTTAGTCTAAAGGCCAGTTCACAAGGCGGGATATTTTTGACCTGTTTTGCCCCTTCGATTACCGTAATGGCTCTAAAGATAATCTAATCAGATTATCCTACCTTGGTCGTATGATACATGTGCTTTGGTACGCCAAGAAGGACGTCTGGACCATTTTGATCACAAATCCGGGCTTTCAAACATTCTTGGATTGTGTTTGTCTGATTTTCAGGCACAAACAACCATGCTGCCTGTTGAATGTGACTTCTAGCCAATCAGAAAGTGGAAACACGCTGCATGCTCCTCCTCCGCCATTTTTGTTTACTTATGTCACGTTTTATCTTGCAAGACTTCCTGTTTGAACAGGGAATGTTTGTGACTGAAAGTTGTTCCTGCAGGACCAAAACTGGTATCACTTCTAGCCTCCACAACGACCAGTTGATTAGTCTGAAGGAGAAAGTGCTTCTCAGATGGTTTGGATTATTTTCTGCAGAAGGATTTTGCCATAAATGGTCCAGGAACAAGAACAGCACTGTTGTTTTGTTCTACATGTGTCGACAGGTGCTTTAGATGAAAAAACGAATGCTAATCAAGTAAGTGTGGTGAGCAGAGCCTAGGTTTGCTCTAACTGGCTTTCAAGATTTTATACTCAGCTAGAAAAGTTAGCACATTCCTGAGAAAGTTGTAAAGGCGATGACACTTAACATCATCTCCGACTCACTGAGTCTTTGCTTCTCTGCAGGCAACAATCAATCAAACTTGTTTGGTGTGTGTGTGTGTGTGTGTGTGTGTGTGTGTGTGTACATGAGTTAGAACTGTGTGATGATCGTGATTGCTTCCTGAGAAATCTACCATTTATCTGCGTCAATCTGACAGGACATCTTCATCATCTTCCCTCCACTTGCTGTCAGATGGCTGCTAAACACCGCAAGGTGTAAAACGATTGATATAAGAAACTATTCCATATGGGAAGTGGTTGCCAAAATGTTTTAAATTCCAACTCTCAAATTAACATAATTAGGGATTTGTGGGCCCACTAGTAAACCTGTTTTAGCAAATCTACAGAACAAGTTAGGTTTTGAAAGCAAACACGGTTATGGAACACTCGCCCCTTCCCTTGGTTATCTTCTGAGGTGAAGGTGCTTCTGTTGGAACCTGATACCCGCCATGCCAGAGGAAACAAGATAGCTCTAAACACCAGTCGCTGTATGCTCGATCCAAACATCTTTTGTTTTTCAGGACTTAAAATGGTGTTTTCCCTAAAGCTGAAGTGGTAGCAGCCGGCTGTTTCTCCTTCTCTCATATTTAAGGTTTTAAGACAAATGTGAGAGAACCACACATAATGTTTTACCTCCAGAATATATTTATAGCTTTATTATGTTAGAACAATATTAAGAGGCATGTTTAATTTTCTAATTTGCTTTTGTAGCTTTGAGTGCTTTGTAACAAATATGTCTTCTCTGTCGCCATAATGCCACCTCTCTCCCCTCCAGCGTCACACAATCAGACAAACATTTGTCATCTCAGCCCAACCTGCTCTTTGGATTAATCCTTCATGCTCTGCTCCTTTTGACTTCATTAAACTCCCACTAACTAATCCAGTCAGTTTCCTGTCTGAATCTTTATCCACCTTCGCTCTAACAGTTTTTGTGTGAAGTGGGTCATGAGCTTAACTACACACTCTTTATTCTAGCTTATTATGACAGAAATTATTAGAAATTAAAAAAAAAAACGAATAAAGACGACTGAAAAACAAAGAGCATATGTTGTGAATCCTTTAAAAACACCAGATTTGAATTATAGCACAAACCTCCGGTTGGATTTTAATTCACCTTCACATTTACACCTGATTAGCATCTGATGACATCCCTATCCAAGATGGCCACCAAAGTTAATCATCATCAACAAACGGAACAAATGACAACTCAGTCAATTTTACACAAATGCAGCTAAAACTATTAAAAGTTGATAGTTTTAGGAGGATATTTGAGTAAAGCTCTGACATGAAGGAGGATGGAAAGTCTGCTTTGATCTTTAATGATCTAATTGCAGTTTCACATCTGGGCCAGCGCGGACCAGGCTGGGTGGCGTCGGTCCGGGTTCCACACTGGTAAGAGTTGTTCAAACACACCTCTCATTAAAGGTAAATCTCTGAGCATGTGGGCGGGGCAAATGATGTGCAGAAAAGTCTGTGTTGTCTCCCTTAAACGATGGCCATGCAGCTCAAGGCACGGCAGTGCTGTCTCTCTCTCTCTCTCTCTCTCTCTCTCTCTCTCTCTCTCTGTGTGTGTGTGTGTGCGCGCGCGTGTGTGTGTGTGTGTGTGTGCGCGCGCGTCCGTGTCCACTGACCTGAGGCAGTGACCTCAATTTGGAGCACACGATTGACAAGACTCTGATCTGACAGTGACAGAAATGACCTCATCCATCACACACACACACACACACACACACACACACACACACACACACACACACACACACACACACACACACACACACACACACACACACACGCTATGCCTGACTCACCTCAGGAGCTATGTAGTCTGGAGTGCCACAGAAGGTTCGCGTGGTCACTCCGTCCACCATGTTCTCTTTACACATGCCAAAGTCAGCGATCTTAATGTGACCCTCACAGTCCAACATCACGTTGTCCAACTTCAGGTCCCTGAGAGGAAACGGGGACAATCAGAACTGTTTTATTGTTGTCACTGTGCTGGTTTCTACTCTTATTCATTTTTACTTGATTTCACTCTCATTACGTTTCATTAATAACACCAGAAGCAGTTGGACCAGGCAAACCTCTCATGATTTAAAGAAAGTGTACATGTGTTGCTAGAGTTGATAAAAACAGCAGTGATTGATTAATTAATTAGGAAATGGAAAAAAAAGATATAATCAGACCAAAGGCTTCATTCCACACAACCTTTCCTGTAAAGTAGCAGAGATTTAGAATGATTTTAGGCACGGCACCTTTATTTATATAGAATATTTCATACAAAGAAGCAATTCAATGTGCCTTCCAGTTGCAAGATCAGCTAAAACAATAAAATCAACATAAAAGAGATTGTAAAACTCTATTTAAAAATGCACCAATTTAACAATGTAACAACAAGATAAAAAGGCAAAGTAAAAGGGTGAGCTGTTACAGTGCAGAAGGTGCAGCACAAGAAATAATCATTCAAAGCCTTCTGACTACATGAAAGCTTTCCATTTTCATTTAAAAGTTCCTAGAGATGGGGCCGATTTGAGGTCATAAGAAAGCTGGCTCCATCTGTGTGCAGCTTCACCCTGTTTGGTTCTGACCCGGGGTTCTACCAGCTGACTGCTTCCTAAGGATCTCAGAGCCCTGCTGGGCGTATATACAGGAAGGAGATCTGACATGTATTCTGGCTCCACGCCACTGAGTGATGTATAAACTAGTAGAAGTACTTTGAAATTGATTCTGCAGTTTACAGGAGTAAAATCCTTGGTTCTCTTTGAGTTTAGCGTTTTAGTTCTTGTTAGTTTTGTTTTTATAATTAGTTTTGATCAGATTGTTTGTGGGCCACATATCTCATCTTTAACATGATTGTGGTGGTACATTTGCAGTTTTTTTATTTTTGCTTTTAACCTGCAGCACATGTCTTAGAAAGAGATAATAATTCAGAAAAAGATGAAATTTCAGCTATTTCTCAGATAAGCCTCATGCATGCAGAGATTTTAACTCGAGCTCTGAAGAAAATGTTAATGCTAATATGGCAGAGTTTTTGATTTCTACTTTAAAACCAGGCACTAGGTTTGTTGGACGGTGTGCAGTGAGTTTAACCAGGAAACACTCACCTATAAATGACTCCTTTAAGGTGCAGGAAGAAGAGGCCGACAGCGATCTCTGCTGCATAGAATCTGCAATAAAATAAAATTAGATTTTTACAGATTAATGACATCAAATAAAACAATCTCCAAAAAAGACCAAAACATTTGACTTGTCAGCTGTTTACACGATAAGCCTGTTTGTCTTACACTGCTTGGGGTTCCTTGAACTTGCCCACTTGTTGGATGTGATACATTAGATCTCCTCCATTCACATACTCCATGACAAAATACAGGCGGTCCTGTGATCACACAGAGAAAACAGTTTGTCGCTGTTCCGTTATAACGCCTAGCTGCTCCGTCTTTCTCGTCACTCTTTTCATGACAAGGTGACTTAAATCGCCCACAACAAAACCAGTTTGTGGAAAAGGAAACACACGCAACACAAGCTGCCATCAGAAAACATTCCCTTTGTTTTAAAATGCCGATGTCTTATTGCTCCCGACAGATTTTGGGCCGACCTCTGAGGGTTTCTGATTGTCCCCTATGAACAAAACAAACACCACTATAACAGATAAAAACTAACAACAAAGTTGGGCCTTTACTAACTCTCATACTCTGATGTTTGAGCATTCTGACCCACAATGCACTGCAGTGCACCCCAATTTCCTTACATAATTATTTGGTTTTTATTTAATAATCAGTCATTGAAAAGATTTATATTTACATTCTCCAATCCAATCCAATTGTATTTATAAAGCACATTCACAAGGCATTACAACCAAACAAGGCGCTGTACACTAAAAATGTTGGTTAATTAAACCGGCGTTATACAAACATGTCGAACACGGATAAAAGATAAAAAGGAAATACAACAAAATTCCCAAAAATAACAGCTAAAAATCATTAAGACACAGGGTGAAGTAAAAATAGGAAAAAACATTTTACAAAGAACCTCAATAATACGGAAGTCGATAATTGTGGAGTCAGTTTATAAACAGTGCAGATGTCAGTGAGGGTCATAATTATGTGGTATAAGCTAGGTTGAAGTAGTGAGTTTTCAGGCGTGATTTAAAAATGCTAGCTGTTGGTGCTAGCCTCACTAGCAGTGGTAATGCGTTCCACAGCTTGGGTGCACAGACAGAGAAAGCCCTCTCTCCACGGCTTTTTAAACGTGCATTGGGAACAGCTAGGAGGAGCTTATCTTCAGACCTGAGAGCTGGCGGCGGGTTGTAGTAATGGACAAGTTCACACAGATATGGAGGAGCTTGATGGTTCAAGGATTTGTAAGTGAGAAGCATAATTTTGAAGTTTATCCTGAACTGCACGGGCAACCAGTGGAGAGATTTCAGAATTGGAGAAATGTGTTGTCTTCTGTCAGCTCCAGTCAGCAACCTAGCTGCTGAATTCTGGACCAGCTGAAGTCTAGAAAGAGCTGCTTTACTGATGCCGTATAAGCAGGAGTTAGAGTAATCCAGCCTTGAGGTGATAAAAGTGTGGACCACCGACTTCAGAAGACGGACACTCAGGATGTGCTTTAGTTTTGAGATGCGTCTTAGGTGGTAAAAACATGATTTAACTGTGTTATTGACCTGGGCATCCATCTTCAGAGCCTGGTCCATTTTTACTCCAAGGTTGGAGATTGCAGAGGATACATTAGGTGAGAGATAGTTGAGGTCAGGTTGTTGAGTCGCCGTGGTACTGTTAGGACTGAAAACGATTAAGTCAGTTTTGGAGTCATTGAGATGGAGGAAGTTGTCAGCTAGCCATTGCTTGACCTCAAGGATACAATCAGACAGAACTTTCGTTGACTGAGTTGGCTTAAATGAAAAGTAGATTTGACAGTCGTCAGCGTAAATCTACTAAATCATTCTGTTCAAAAGGATGCTATGATTTGTTAAAGATGTGGGAAAACTCATCTAATTAATACATTTGCAGTAGTCTCTAGTAGGAATGAATGCCTTGTTAGTCGAACCTGGAGGGGGAACTATACCGGTGCACCATTTCCAGGATCTAGAAGTGAGCCACATCACAGCTGTTGGAGTCTTTTTTCCTGATATTTGAACATCTCGCCCCTGACTGGATAACAGCAATGTGACTCTGCCACTGACTTGCAACATGGATGCTTCATCTCCACAAATAACAGGAGGAGTTCTGCCATGTGGTGAAGTTGCTAATGCTAACAGTTAGCTTCATCTAGCTGAGAGGTTATCTGCTGATTCCTGGACATTAAAACAACAGCATCCTTCCCTGTCATGAGTCAAGATGGGCGAGTCCATGACGTAGATCTGTGAGGATTTTAAAATCCTAGACTTTCACTGTTTTTTTTTTCTATTGCACATCTGGTGGAAAGTCTCGGCGATTCTGCGTCTGCTGGTGTTAAAATCGTCTCATCAGTGCCCTCTTGTCAGACTCAGAACAGCATGCATACCAGACTTTTATGGATAAAATAAAGGACATCAATGAGACTTTTAAATCTTGCTGTGTTCATGGTCCATGTAAGGTCAGAGGTCAGGAGTTTTCACCAGCTAGCTCATTAAATAAAGAAATAATCCATTAATGCATGCAAACCTGCAGGCCCTGTGTTAATTATGCCAAAAGGTAATTTATAAATGAACAAATGAACATAGCGAGCTAAAATGCACTCCCTCACCTACCTTGGTTTATTAACAGGAGCCTGCTCGTTTTCCTGCATCCTTTGTTTTTTAATTGAACCTGTCACATTCTCCTCTACTGCCCTCTACAATTTATGACTAAGCAGTCTGGCCAAAAGGCCCTTTCTGAATTAATGTGACCCGACCTAACATAAAGAAGCATGTCTGGATGAGTGTCCAGAGGCGTGTTTTACCCACCACAGTCTGGAAGCACGAGTGGAGCTGTGTGAGGAACGGGGGCTTGTCCTGTTGGGCCAGGACTCTCTTCTCAACCATGGTGCATTCAACATCATCATCCTGGATCACCACATCCTTCTTTAGGATTTTTATGGCGTAAAGCTCTTCTGTGGTCTTCATCTCGGCCAGCATAACCTTCACAGACACCGAAGAGAACAGAGAAGTTGGACATTTGCTGTATAATCACCTTATAACGTTTATTTTTGACCTTTCAGACCTTGCCAAAGCTGCCTTTTCCCAGTACGGCTAGAAAGTTGAAATCGCTGAGTTTGACTTGGTCCAGGTTGTTGGACGAGAGGTTAGTGGAACGGCCGTTGTCCGTCTCTGAGATCACCTTCTTCCCAGGGCCCAGTTTGGCTTTCTGCACTCCGAAAACAAAAGAGAAATTGTCAAAAGAACAATTATCTTCAAAATTAGAGATTATGAAAATGGTAAACCGGCATGGCTGATTTCTGAAATGAAGGGAACTTACATATGACTAATTTATAAATACACAGAAAAATATCTGAACTTAACTCTTAAAAAACACATTATCTCACTCACTCAGACTACTTATTTAGTCATTTATAAACACAAACTACTGGTCAATCAGTGGAGTTCCTCATTAATGGGATGAGATGGGAAAAGCTGATGATGCACTGATATAATAACAATCAAACCAGCACAGTTCACTGTTGCAATAAATAGTCAGAAATGAAACGTAACTTTTAAAGCAGAAAAGCTGATAATGGAGGACACAATATAAAAGCAACTAAATTAAAAAGAGAGAGAGAGAGAGATTTACTTGAAACATAAACACTATTAATGTTTTTGTTTAAAGGAGTGGTTCACTCATTTATCAATACATTTGCAGTGGTCTTTAGTAGGCATGAATGCCTTGTAAATCGTACTCTGGGGGAAAAAATATACTGGTGCACCATATCCAGGAACTAGAAGTTACCCACATCACAGCTGAACTCCAGACAGCAGGCTATGGACTCTTATTTCCTGATGTTTGGACATCTCGCATCTGACTGGATGACAGCAACACGACTACCACTGACTTGCAACAGGGATGTTTTATTTCCACAAATGACACAAGCCTGGAAGAGCACCTGTGTGTGGTGGAGTTGCTAATGCTAACATTAGCTTCTACTAGGCCAAGATGTTCTCTGCTGTTTCCTGAATGCTAACGGTGCGTTCCAATTGTCCTCGGAACTCGTTTTTCTGAGATAAGTTAGCCGGAAATGAAGCAACAAACACAGAATTCCGACCTGCAAGCTTGTAGGTTTCAGATGACCCTGAGATCCCAAATTTAAAAATGGCTGCGCCTACTGCTACCAGGAAGTATTTATCGCCTTTATTTTTCTCTCATTTATATGTTCTGTTTTCTTTTATTTGATATTTAACAGGGCTGGTAAGTTGTTTATTGTTGTTATCAATAGTAGTGTTGTTGAATAATTTAACATTGCCACCAAAATTGACCAGTGTTTATGGTTTTTACTCTTCCTGGCGTTTATACTTTTACATTTTATTTGTAATGTTTTTCTGGTTGTATGTGGCAACTGTTGAAGTGCGTGTGTGTCACTTTTATTTAGATGCGGAGAATACTTGGTTATATAATTATTTTGGTTTAGTACTCAACACCACTGGTGGCATCCAATTTTTCTGAGCTGGAAGCTGGAGCGCAAAACAAGCCCGTTACGTCATTTCCTGCTCAGAAATTCAGAGTTCCAAGGACAACTGGAATGCACCATAACACAACAACAGCCTTCCCCGTCAAGATGGGTGAGTCCATGAATGCTGAGAATGAACACAATTTTATCTGTAATATATAATTAAACACATATGCGAAATATTACACGAAACGAGTCACATTAAAACTCATCCTGCACTTTAGTATAACCAAAATCTATAAAGATTTCAGTTATGACCCTAATTTTATGTTTTCTGCAAATAATAACTTGTGCAACATAACGTCTTGGAGAAAATTTTAAATTAAACATTAAATATATTAATGCATCAAAACTTTCAACAGTCTTTAAAAAATGTTTGATCAAAAATCAGCCTAATTGGAAAATAGCTTGACTGGATCGGGGGTTAATTTCATCATAAATAATATGATAAATTACGGGTTTTGGGTTGTAACTGGTGAACATAACAGAAATAAAGCTTTAGGGATTAATAAAGAGAAGCTGTTTGGACAGAATGATCAGAGATTTGTTCTTTAAGTAAACTTTTTCCAAAGTCATTTTTTGTCCCCTGCCCTTTTCACCGTCCAAAAACAATATTACGCTACATTAAATAGACACTGGTTGAGCAGTAGGACCCCCCCCCCCCCCCCCCCCCCCCCCCCAAGTCATCATGCCGGTTGCGCCAGTGCTCGGCAGCCTCGCCTCTGTCAGTGCGCCCCAGGTCAGCTGTGGCTACATCGTAGCTCATTCCCACCAGCGTGTGAATGGGTGTGTGAATGGGTGAATGACTGATGTTGTTGTAAAGTGCTTGGGGGGGGGGGGGGGGGGGGGGGGGGTCCAGGTCTCTAGAAGACGCTATATCAAACACAGGCCATTTATTTTGGCAGTTTACAGCATCTTATTTAAAATTGAATAAATGCAGCCCAAAACCGTAACTATTTATCCGTCTTCAGTTTAAAACGCTGCTCTACACTGATTTTGAATCATCAACTAGACTTTCTGACTGTGAAGCTCCTATAGCGCTCGAGTGGGTTGATGGGGGCGATGTCGATCACTGCCTTAGTGCCGCTCTCTCGGTCTGCCTTAAATCAACAAATAGTTCCCGAGCGCGGCCGTGTCTGCAGCTCACCGCTCCACAACAGGGTGTGTGACAACTATGGGAGTTTAATCTTTAATCTTAAAGCACATTTTTCAAACAGGAAGTGTGGGTGAAGTAAGACTCCACCCAAGGTGTAATTTGCCCCTAAACTCCTTCTTAAGGTTGGTTTATGCTTGACGCGTCCGCGAGGTCCGCACGGCTCCGCGCGGAAAAGTTGCGTCATTTTAACAACCACGCCCCTCTGCCGCGCCTCCGCACGGCCCAGAATTTCCGCAACGCGCACCTCGGAAAATTTCTAACCACGTGGACGGACGGACGCTGAAAAACATGGCGGACCGGCAAGAACTAGTATGGCAGAGGTTCGTAAATACAGACATTTGTATGATTCAGCTCTCAGAGATCACCGTGATCAACATGTTGTTAATAATTCTTGGAGATAAATAGCTCGCACTGTCGGAAAAGACGAGGACGCTGTTAAAAATGCTGGAATGCCATGTTGTAAACAACAGTAATTTTTACTTCTACTATGGTGTAGTGTTGGATGCATGCCATAGAGCTCCATGCTGCCCCCTACAGTTTGGGAGAATATTGGCTCACCGCAGAGACGAGCCGCATGAACCATAAACGCTGCGAGTTGTGAAGCGCGTTCCAGCCGCGAGCCGCATCACCGCGCGGAAAGTGAATGCGTCAAGCATAAACCAAGCTTAACATCTCTGACCCACCGGAACTTTGAGGTCTTCTCAGGCCCTTTTAATGGTACCTAGAACCCGTGGTATCAGGGCCTTTTCAGTGGCTGGTCTTGGGGCAGCAATAGCCATAGTAATCGGAAGGTTGCGAGTTTGATCCCAGCTTTCAGCAGAGAATTCTACTGTTGTGTCCTTGGGCAAGACACTTAACCCACGTTGCCTGCTGGTGGTGGTCCGAGGGACTGATGGCACCAGTGCTTGAAAGTCTCGCCTCAGGGCAGCTGTAGCTGCATCATAGCTCATCATCACCAGCATGTGAATGTGTGGATGGATGAATGATACACTGTAGTGTAAAGCGCTTTGGAGTCCTCTGACCTTGAAAGACACTAAGTGCAGGTAATTTATCATTTATTCTGCCTGATCAGACCAAAATAAATATGTGCTTTTTAATCTATATTAATAAGTATTTATTTTAATGTTGGCTCAGTCTGGTTTTCTTTGTTTATTTGCATGTTTTACAACCATCTCCCCCAGAGAACTCATCATGCTTTCATCAGAAACAAGCATTTCTTCCAAACTCCAACCAAACCACCCCAATGATGTAAACAAACACAAATAATCTGAGGCTGAAGAAACCAAACAAGCAGTTCTTGTTTTTAATTCTGACTCCAGCTGCAGGGAGGATTTCTGGTTGTTTCATTCAGTTATGAAGTCAAGGGCGCCACCCTGTGGCGTCTGTGCCTGCATGCGGATCCAATGCAAACAAACCCCTGATGTTATCCAGGAAGACGTTTTCTCCATGCTGCATCATGCTCAAACTTTCAGCAGGACCAATGCTTTAAGAAGCTTGATTTTTTTAAGGGACATTGCCATTTGCTTAAAATACACACATTTGTGGCAATCTGCATGGCACACAACGAGCAAGAATGCACAGCAAATTCTGTCTGTTGGTACGAAAACACACCCAGCAGCGCCATCATTGCTTGTTTTTAGTTTAAGCAGTTGTTACAGAAAAAACTCAGACTTTAGCCTCATCAAGTTTGTTATCAGACCATCACCTCATCTAGATGAGGAAACATTTCTGGGAAGTCCTCCTGGACATGGAAGATGGTAATTATTTGTATATATTTTATAAGGAAATTCAAACCCATTTCTAATTCTACCAACATTATAGTCCTAAAAGACTATTCAACTTTTTTTTCTTTTTTTTTTGTTTCAACTAAATTCTGCAACAACAGAAGTACAGCTCTAGTTTGGTTAATAGCGTTTACAGAAGTCTGATTTTAGACTAAAAGAGCATCAGAGTAACACAAAGCAGAGACGATCCATCACAGCAAACCTGCCTTACTTTATTCCCTTCAGACGCACCTGATCACAGGCCTCCATAGCTGCTTGGTCCTGAAACCACAGGGAAAGGGAGCCCAAAGACTCGCTCACATTGAACGCATCGAGTCTAGGAGCAGAATCTGGCTTTACATGTAATTAAATGAATCCCAAAACAAACTTAAAAATCCATCAATAATAACTAAGTTTTTAATCTGGATTTCTACTTTTTTATTTCAATTTTTTCATGTATGGAAAAAATGGTAAAAAAAATTCATAAACCACAGAAAAACATGCTTAAGTACTTCAACTCACTGCTGACCTCTTGTGTTTATATGTGGCATTACAAATAAACTGAGACTATTAACATTCAGTATAGTACAGATTATAAAATAAACACACAAGGACAGTAGGTGTAATACATAGAATGTAAACATGCAGAACAATTAATAAAATAAAATTAATGATTTAACAAACTATTGGAATTCGTACTGTCATGAAAATTCATTAATAATAAATGTATTATTGTGTAAATTCCAAAACAGCTGTAGGGATATCCAATCTGTGGCCACAACCTAAATTGTTTGATTAAACTAAATGAGTTTATGAGGATGGGGAGGAATGGAGTCACCACAACAAGATGAGACGAAAGAAAAGTGAGAAGATGATGTGGAGAAGGCAATGGAGAGGGGCGAGGGCTACCTTCAGATTAAAGTTACTATGGCTGTCCTGAGAGCAGGCCAAGACGTGAAAAAGGAAGAGAGAAACTCTTAAATACAAACATGTGACAGGATGCACAGTTTTCTGTAAGTCTCACCGTGGTCATGTGGGAACAGAAAGCTGTAGTGGGGGAGGAAAGAGAACCACAAAGGGGTTTATGAGGATGCAAAGGGACAGACATTCCCTCGGCTATAAAGTACTCGAAATAAATCAGGTGTGATTTTAAAAGGATAATAAATAACACCTGGCAGTGTGAATGCTTCCCCATCTATGCTGTTAGTATAAACATTTATCTTCCTCCTGAGGGTGTTTGGTCTGCAGGTACAGAGAAAGTAAAAAAGATCAACTCTGACACACAGTTGAGAATTTAACCAGAAGATAAATGAAGGCATACCGTTGGATTCCTGGAAGCCATGACAACCAGTGCAACGGTCTTTACTCAGGGTTTTGAAGATTTTGTTCCTTTTTTTGGACTTTGTTTTTATAAAGAAGATTAAATTTTACAAAAGCTTAAACTGATCAGATCATTTAAAACTACATATAGAGGACCTTTACCACTGAAAGGGGCAAAACTCAACTTTTGCATCATTTTGAGCTGCCATGTGGGTCCCCTGCTGCCTCTAGAAACACTCAACACTTAAAAAAACTAACATCCAAACATTTTATGTCAGTGTTTGGTTTTAGGAATTATGTGCCTAAAATGAACTGTTTGAAAAATAGAGTTCCTCTCGCATCTCCAGGATCTACTCCCAGTCCCTCCATTCACATTGCAGGCAAATACGCTTTCCACATGCGACCCATATCAGATTTTTTGTGACATTCTTCACACCACAAATCCAATTTTTTCTAATCTGTGAATTAACTTAATACTGAAACTTTTCAGGGAATACTAACTAGTAAAATAGTTTATAATTTTTAAAATGTTTTCCAGGCCAAAATGGGAGACTTGACAGGTGTGATCCTGAAATTGAGGATGAACTCTCAGTGAAGGCTTTCACAACTCCACCTCTCCTGGTTCCGACTGCACTGTCTCCTCACCCAGCGGCCATCTTAGATGGGTCTCCATTCGCCCCCAGTGCATTTGTGGCATCAGACATGACTGACATGTTCTAATATTATCAGATGAAAAACTAAATTATCACACATGCTGTCTCATCTGCTTCTTTTCTAAACTTGCAAAAAGTAACAAAACCATTTGAAAGCCACTATTTGTGGATTACTGTATCTGAAAGTTTCCATGGAGTCGGTGACAACTTATTTTTTCATTGATCCTATCATCTGATCTCACAGCTGAAACAAGCATCCTTAATAATCTGTGCACAGGAAGCTTACCGATGCTGTAAACAAAAGGTATAATAATTTCTTAATAAAACCTTGTTGCAGCACTAAACCAGAAAAATGAGATTTTACAATAAATATGCAGAATATTTACATATGGATTGTTTTAGAGCCCTTTTATTGGCAGAATCTGATATCAATTTTAGTTCTTACAAAAAAAATGGGTCCCAAGTGGTTTGTGTGGAGTTGCCATAGTGTGACATCATAGGCACAGATCCCCTGTCCTCTTTTTTGGAAATGGAAATATGTTCACCCCATGTTGAACAAACTGTCCACCCGGGCTTTTGCGCTGCACAGAGACACTTCGCTGCCTATGACTTTGAACGTCAGTTGAGAGTCAGACTGACCAATGAAGAGAGGGCCTCAAGTTAAGACCCTCTCCTCATCGGTCAGTCCACACGAGGTGGGTCAAAGGTTACCCTGAGGGGTTACGTGATGTCAGGCATTCAAGTATTGAGTATATTTACTGCATATTACAGTAAAATATTCTGTATGTGACCACATTATGGTGATCCTTGGGTCGTGATGATGGGGCCCTTGAATATTGTTGCCCAGGGTACAACAAAGTGTTAATCTGGCCCTGGTGTTTGTTATACATTCATTTCTACTGAGGAAGGTGCTTACCCAACTAAAAAACACATTTTATCAAGCTTTTTCACAAAATCATACACATGGTATCACATGATAATTGAAATATGTACATACAATTAAACAAACTAAATTAAAATAAGAAATCACATCAGGTAGACTAGAAAAGTTTTCAAAAGTATGCTGGTTGCTGCGACCGTAGGCCGCACAAAAACGGTCAAAGCTGCCCACTCTGCATTGACTTTGAAGAGTGAGAAGACCCATCCAATATGGTGGCAACGCGCTCTTCAGTGCCCCATGAGGTGTCTACGTATTCATGTCTACCTCCAGCTTGTTTCCTTGAAGTAACAGAACTCTGAAACGGCTCATTCTGGAAGGTACTGAAAATTGTATGAATAAAACTACAGAATTCTTTTCAGATGAGAGGTTTAGTGCTGAGAACATCAACAGGTTTTTTTATAGACCATAGGACTAACAGCTGCAATGACACATAAGCAAAACAAGCTAGTTTTTAACTCCTTTATCACTGAAGTAGTTTGAATAAAAAAAATTCAACCCCCGGGTGTTATTGTAGTATATAACAAAAGTATTCTTCTGTTGTTACAATTTTCAGAAATATTTATTTTCATACAAAAAATCAGAGAAAACAAATTGGTCAAACATGGACATTGGCCCTGTTTTGGTAAAAGAACTCCAAAAATAAAACAGCATGAATAAGTTATGTAAACATTATTTTTTAATTATATAGATGATTATAAGGCACTTGAGAATTATCCAGCAAATTTTAGAACATTATATGACTTTAGAATAATACTGAATATTTCACAATTATTAAACAATAAAAGCTTTTTTTTAATAAAAACAGATTACATTTACAATATTTCTAAAAGGGTATTGAACACTAGATACCATTTCTGAGCAAATATAGATCATTAGAATATTTTAGAATATTTTAGGTTTGAGGATCTGCCTCAATCTCATCTTCCTCCCCTTCATCATCATCACTGATGGACACATTTGATGGCACAATAACTGTCGTCTTCAATTTTCCATTGGAATCTTAGTTTAAAACTGAAAGATATATTCAATATTATAATTGTTTTTATTACTGTTACCATAAATATGAAGATTATGTCTAAAAAACAACAGATTTCATCTAAAAATATACATTATTTATTTTCCTCGTTCGGGGCGTATGTTCAAATATGGCAGATTTGATTTTAATTCTGTGATTTCATCAACTTCATTGAGTTTACAACACATCTATCCTTATTTAGCACAACTAGTCAACTTTGTGAAGTCAGAGTTTCATAAACCTAGCATTGTTAGTTTTAGCGATCAGGGGTCTCATTTATCAAACTTTGCGTAGAATCCTTACTAAAAGCGTACTTAAGCTCAGCAAAAAAAATGTACTTACACCAAGCAGGTTTGTGATCCATCAAACATGGAGTACGCACAGCTGCACACAATCTCCACTTCATAAATCAGAAACTATCTAGAAATGTTCTCAGCTGCATTTTAGTCACATCCTGCCCTCACCACGCCCACTTACTGCCATAAATAGTCAATGCAAAGGGCCTTGTGGATCTCATGCATATACATAAGCCGGCTGTTGCAGCGCTCCGCCAATGACATGGCAACCGCGGATCAAGGCAGATCAAGGAAGCGCAATTTCACAGAAGCAGAAGTTGAGGTAGCTGTGGGTGAGGTGGAGAAATGAAAGGAAGTGCTTTTGCAAAACAAATAAGAGAAAATCCACGGAGTGGCACAGCGTTGCTGAAGCCGTCAATGTTGTGAATTCTTCAGAGAGATCTGTGGCGGATATTAAATAAATGGTCCAATCGGGATTCGATCCCCAGACTCCCAGGTGAAAGTCACGTGCGCTAACCAGTCACGTAAACGGAGATCTCCCTTGTCCAAGTAGCCAGGGTGCGTTATCATTATCAGTGACGGGATGCTCACATTGTCACAGACGCATGACATTCTGTCTCAATCTGTCCCCCTGCTGATATTCTGCATTCCGTATTCTGCGCTTCAGGCTGTGTGTGGGGGTCTTGTTCGGTGTGAAAACGAAGCAGTACAAGTGATAATGCTGCAGGATTTCATCATTTTATCCTTCTCAGCAGCAGCACTGCAGGTGCTACCCATGTCCAAAATGTGCGTAAGCCAGGTCCTTAGTCAACTTAAAGTTGCGCAAATTTTTCCACCAAGTTTTCTTTCATAAATCCCGAAGTTTGTGTGGAAAGTTGCTTACGCAGTTTTCCGACCCCGTTTTGGCAAGCTTGATAAATGAGGCCCCTGACCGTAAACATGAGAGGAGACCGAGTAGTTTTCTGGTTCTGCAGACACACCGCGTCATAGCTCCGTGCTAAATGGTGGAATGCTGCCATGGCGTGATCTTTGATGATTGGATGAGTAAAATTTTGTAATTCTGAGAGTTCATGAAAAAGCGCACCAACACCAACTATGATGTGAGTAGAAATGTCTAAACACTGTATAGACGTTGGCCCTATTAAGGATTAAACCCAAACATGGCCACGGAACGCTCACCCCTCCCATTAGTTATCACCCCAGGTCACGTCCCCCGATAAGAAAACCCTCACTACCAGAGAAAACACCAATCACCGTTTTCTACGTTTTAATGTCTTTTGTCTTCCGTAGATACAAATAGTGTTTTTCATTTTGGGGACTTTGTGACTTTTTGGTAGTTTATCTTAACATTGAAGTGGTAGCAGCTGGCTGTTTCTCCTTCTCTGATTTTACTGAGTGGAGAACCTCTCACACCAGAGGTGTTCTGTTGCTAAATATGTGAGTGCGTTATGAATGGAGGACTGAGGGAAGTGCAGATGTGCTGCTGTTCGGTGAGACAGACAACCGCACCGTCCAATCGTTGCTTTTGGACTGAATCGAGGTTTTTAGTACCACTTAATTCATTTTTATATCCATAACATAATTATAGCTATACCACGTTAGAATGCTGTTAAAGTTAAAGTCCCATTAACTCATCACAAACTGGTGAAATTCATCTTTACATTTGACCCAGTCCTCGTGGGGAGCAGTGAGCTGCAGCTGCGGCTGCGCTCGGGAACTATTTGGTGGTTTAACCCCCCAATCCAAGCCCTTAAAGCTGAGTTTCAAGCAGGGAGGCATTTGGTCTCATCGTTAAAGTCTTTGGTATGACCCGACTAGGATTCGAACCCCGATCTCCCAGACCGAGGGCGGATCAAATTTAAACTAGCTTGTTTTGCAGATTTGCCATGAAGCTTTAAGAAAAAAAATAACAATATTTTGTCTTCAATTTCACATTAGTCAAAGATTTGTTACTGAACTTTCAAAATATGCTGCAAACTAGATGAAGTATTCTATATTTTTTATTTTAAGAGATAGCTTTGCTGCTTTTTAAGTCTCTGTTTTGCATAATTTACACATTCAGTGACCATGCAAGTGTTATCTAAAGTATCAGTCACTGCCTTTTTTCATTCATAATCCACTAGATGTCAGAGTTGGATTAACAAACAGCTGCTGGTGGACAAAGGAACATGCTGCTGTACTCAAACACTGGAATGCATCTGATGTGAGAACAAAACGCTGCTGTCAACAAACACGATAAAATAATCATAGCAGAAACTAATTCTCAGACAGAAAGACAACAAGCTGCAGAAGGACTTCCAAAGCTGCCTACGGCTCTCACGCGGTTATTACTGCAACAGCTGTGCTGCGTGTGAAAATTTGATAATTGGGCTAAACATGCATTTGGGCTCAGGGTGGCAGGATCTGCCACGAAGGAGCTTAAAAAACAAATCTGCTCTATGTAAAAATCCCTTTGGATTAACACCATCAACACAATAGTATGACAGAAATGTTACTGATCCAGCGTTCCACCAGATATTTTTTTCATTTATGACAAAAGGTCATTCAGCACAAAAGAGAAGTTACCGAAAGAGACAAACAAAAAATTCATTTAGCTAAAGGTGGTCGTTCAAGGCGTAAAATGTAACGAGGTAAGATGACAAACATCCAGGGCAGATGTTGTTGACAAGTTAAAGTAAACTGTCAAAAACAGCATTTTAGTGAAAATCTCACCTCAAATTTCTCCCTCAGTTCCTCGTTACCATCGTCCTCCACAGAGATGGGGACGTTGTAGTACTCCCCCTCCTCCTGACACAATAACTTGTACCTGAAAAAGGAGCAGCAGGTTTACATGTTTCATCCTGGTTTTTGTGTCTCCTACTAGGCGCCAAAAGTGGCAGCCCAGTTTCTGTTTCGGCATGAATGCTTAAAGTTGCGTTGCACTTCTTACACAATAAAACAAAAAATTTAAAGGGGACAGTCACCTTTTGTGCTGTGTGGGTCTCTACAGCGGCTATACAAACTATATTATATATATATATGTGTACATCTCAGCTCTAAAGCCGATCTTCATCCGCATACGTCACACGTCACGTGATCAGGAAGCAGAAAATCCACCTGTTAGGAGATCATTTTGGGCCGCTGCTTTAAAAAAAGTGAGGCGCGAACCCGAAAAGCTTCTGCTGATCACAATTCAACATAAGATTATGAAAGAACGGCTAACGCTCGAAACGCGCGGATTCTTCCTGATGTAAGAGGTGAGAGTCTCCGCTTTGTTTTGGTTGTTTTGGCGTCGACATCATCCTAGCGCGCAACGTTCTGTGACTCTGAAAAAAAAAACTGTAAAAACGGTGAGAAACGCCGGCAGCGAATGAGTTAATAAAGCAGCTTCCACCACCCCAGCACAGGCCCAAGGTGCTGTACACTAACACAGAACAACAAGAATAATAAAACAGGAAAAAGGAAAAGGAAGACAAGACACACTTGAAGAACAATCTAAGTGAAAAATAAGTTATAAAATCCAATGACGAATGACTATCAAAGCTCAAGGAGACTCATGACTAATATCAAATATCAAAAAAAGTCCTATGTCCCCTTTAACAATTTTTTTTTACGAACAAAGGCAAACTCTTTCTTTAATTTACTGCTCCCGGACTTGAAACATTTGTAATGAGTTTCCGTCAGGAATTGAACATTACCAGCCACAGACTGATGACTTCATGAGTTCTGACACTCCAAAGGAAAGGGACCCCATGAAGTCATTCCTGGTGGTCCGGTCCCAGTCCCACACTTCCACAGACAGCCTGCGGTCTTTGTCTGAAGGCTTCAGCTTGCTGCACAAAACATTATAGCCATTAAAATTTGAAAATAAACATTGCATGTTTTACAACAGAAAAATATATTTGCATTTTATACGTTTTTACTTTATGGTCGGACATGCTTACAAAGTAAAGGTCTCATTCCATCTGGGGTTGAGGTTGGAGCGGATCGTTTTGGTCTTCTGCTTGGTCTCGTTTTTGGGATCTGGTATGAGCTTCAGTTTGACATATGGATCAGATAGGCCATTGGGGTCCATGGGTATGAGGTTTTTGCCTTCACTTACTGCAAAAATAACAATAAACATGCCTACATGAGCTGAAGTGAACAACATCATGTTCCATGTTTGACATAATAAAATGAAGCTGCTGCTGGAGATAGCACACGTCAGTTCCAAGAGGCTTTTAGTGAGAGAGAGAGAGAGAGAGAGAGAGAGAGAGAGAGAGAGAGAGAGAGAGAGAGAGAGAGAGAGAGAGAGAGAGAGAGAGAGAAAAGATCAACAGGTGAACATCAACAGAATAGAGCCCCGGTGTTTAGAATCAAACGGTGAGTCACAGCATATGAGGATGTTTTCTGTGTGAAATGTAATGGGACCAGTGAGTCAGAAATACAAGCTGTGTCATGCATGAGAAGGTGAAGGCTCTCCACTGGCCCTCTCCTATTAAGTAAACAAGAGCACATGAGGGATATTAACACTCCATTAGCCTTGAACTCTGGAAAAAAGCCAGGCGTCCACCACACACACACACACACACACACACACACACACACACACACACAGACAAGCATATATGTACATGCTCTGTTGGCAGAATGAGACCCAACATGAAGAACTCCCTGTTGGAACCTTAGAAGGTAAAGAAATTTGCATGCATACAGGTGCTGGCCAGTAAATTAGAATATCATCAAAAGGTTGAAAATATTTCAGTAATTCCATTCAAAACGTGAAACTTGTACATTATATTCATGCAATGCACACAGACCAATGTATTTCCAATGTTCATTACATTTAAATTTGATATTCATAAGTGACAACTAATGAAAACTCCAAATTTGGTATCTCAAAAAATTAGAATATTCTGAAAAGGCTGAATATAGAAGACACCTGCTGCCACTCTAATCAGCTGATTTACTCAAAACACCTGCAAAGGCCTTTAAAAGGTCCCTCAGTCTTGTTTTGAAGGCACCACAATCATGGGGAAGACTTCTGACTTAACAGCTGTCCAAAAGACAATCATTGACACCTTGCACAAGGAGGGCAAGACACAAAAGGTGATTGCTAAAGAAGCTGGCTGTTCGCAGAGCTCTGTGTCCAAGCACATTAACAGACAGGCGAAGGGACGGAAAAAATGTGGTAGAAAAAAGTGTACAAGCTCTAGGGATAACCGCACCCTGCAGAGAATTGTGACGACAAACCCATTCAAAAATGTGGGGGAGATCCACAAAGAGTGGACTGCAGCTGGAGTCAGCGCTTCAAGAACCACCACGAGGAGACTCATGAAAGACATGGGATTCAGGTGTCGCATTCCGTGTGTCAAGCCACTCTTGAACAAGAAACAGCGCAAGAAGCGTCTCGCCTGGGCCAAGGACAAAAAGGACTGGACTGATGCTGAGTGGTCCAAAGTTATGTTTTCTGATGAAAGCAAGTTCTGCATTTCCTTTGGAAATCAAGGACCCAGAGTCTGGAGAAAGAGCGGAGAAGCACAGAATCCACGTTGCATGAGGTCCAGTGTAAAGTTTCCACCGTCAGTGATGGTGTGGGGTGCCATGTCATCTGCCGGTGTTGGCCCACTCTGTTTCCTGAGGTCCAGGGTCAATGCAGCCGTCTACCAGGAAGTTTTAGAGCACTTCATGCTTCCTGCTGCTGACCAACTTTATGGGGATGCAGACTTCACCTTTCAACAGGACTTGGCACCTGCACACAGTGCCAAAACCACCAGCACCTGGTTCAAGGACCATGGTATCCCTGTCCTTGATTGGCCAGCAAACTCGCCTGACCTTAACCCCATAGAAAATCTATGGGGTATTGTGAAGCGGAGGATGCAATACGCTAGACCCAACAATGCAGAGGAGCTGAAGACGACTATCAGAGCAACCTGGGCTCTCATAACACCTGAGCAGTGCCACAGACTGATCGAGTCCATGCCACGCCGCATTACTGCAGTTATTGAGGCAAAAGGAGCCCCGACTAAGTATTGAGTGCTATACATGCACATTCTTTTCATGTTCATCCTTTTCAGTTGGCCAACATTAGAGAAACAAACATTTTTTCATTGGCCTTTAGAATATTCTAATTTTCTGAGATACCAGATTTGATGTTTTCATTGGTTGTCACCTATAAATATCAAAATTAAACGTAATAAACATCGGAAATACATTGGTCTGTGTGCATTGCATGAATATAATGTACAAGTTTCACGTTTTGAATGGAATTACTGAAATATTTTCAACCTTTTGATGATATTCTAATTTACTGGCCAGCACCTGTATTTTCATTTGAAGCCAAAACTCCAGTAAAAAAAATCAGTTGCAAACTTTTCATTTAGCTGTTTTTTTTTTTCAGACGCATCACACGGGTCAAGCCTTTGTATCCCACCACCTTTTGCCTTCCTGTGCAGCACCTGTGCCGGAGGATTTGTGTGCTGAGCGACGATAGCGAGGTGTTAAGGAGGAAGCTGCTGCTGGAGATGGCACACGTCAGTTCCAAGAGGCTTGCAGAGTATAAGGACAGTTAAGGTGTAGGAAGATTATTGATCGTTCCTAAACTGGCCGTCCTCTGCTTTCTCAGAAATCCAGTGTTGTGTCAATATCTGCGTGCTGAGTTTGGACCTGAACGAACGCTACACAATTCACAGAACAGGAAAGCTCAAGAGTACAAGAGTGAGCCGAATAATAGTTCAATTGGCTCCATTTCAGATCATTCGTTCATATTTCAACAGCACGACAACTAGAATTTAGTTAAATAAAAAGTGTTTGGCCTGCTGTAGCCCTGGAAAAAAAATATTGTGGCATCATTTTTACTGTCATCTCTCATCACACCGATGAAACAGAAGAAAGCATTTCAGAGTCAGTTTTCATTTTCCAAAGAAATCTTCCTGAAAATCCAGGAAATACATCCAGGCAGAGATCAATTAGCATGAGATTTACCGCATATTTGCTTAAGAGAGACTTTAGATACCTACTGATGTAACTTATATAATCATCTCCAGTAAATGATGTTTAACTTTTACTTCGCGGATCATGAACGTCATGTTTTGCTTTTTACAGAGAGAGGTCATGTGTATGCAAAAGTCCGTGCACTCGAATGACATTCCTAAATAAAAGGGACATTTTGCTTGTTTGGTGGCCAGTTCTGTGGAATTGAGGGGGCGACCAACCATGATGTCATTTATCTAAAATGTTTTTGACTAATCATCTTGCTCAGAAAAAGGTTGAAATATTCCTTCATATAAAAATAATTATTATTTAATAATATTTTTATTGATTGATATTATTATTAATATTATTAATATTTTCTCACAGTTCTCAGAAGCGTTATTGTATTTCCAGTTATTACCAGTAGGGGGTGATCTAGACTCTAATTCAGCTCAGTCAGAGTTTCAGACACAAATCTAACAAGTTGAAAACCTGCAGCAGTTCTGATTTCTAACTGCAGTTTCAGAAATATCACTGATAGTCTGTGTGTGGTTTTGACATAATCCATTTATAAATGTGGCTGCTGAGTTCGTAAAACAATTTTATTCAAAAGAAAATCAGAAAACACTGAACATTTTTTGGCCTGCTGCTGGTTATCATCATAATATTAAAAGCACATTTAGTGACATTTTCTCTCTCCGACAAAATAATTTTTGCAACAAGAAACTTAAATTTCCTTCATTATTCAAAATAAAACAAGCCAAAAATGAATATTGGTCATTTACTGTTTCTTTTCTTGCCAATTTATTCAGAAAGAGGCAAAAATAAATAAATAAATAAAAAGAAGGGGAGATGTGAGGGGGCATTTTATTTTGAAAGGCTGAAGCATGTGTTTAAAGCGTACAGTCTATGGTTTAAAGCTGCATGAGTGCACAAGCTGAGAAAACAGAGCAGAGGCAGGACAACACACCGGGAATACCAACAAGAGGACTTCTGGGAGTCTGGCAGCATTCGTCCCACGACAGCATTCAGCTGTTCTCTGAACTCCATGGAGATTCAGCAGAAAGCAAAGTCTCTGTGTGTGTTTGTGTGTTAATATGTTAGAGGAAAGGCTGATGGGCCTAAAATCCCCGGGAAAATTCCTCCTGCATGATGTCATTTACACACAAGTTTGCCTAAGTTGTCTGCTGCTGTTTTGGCCATAAAATGTGTTTGAGAAAATAAAGCTTTCAGAGAAATAATCTAAATGTGTTTCTATTATTTCATGTGATATGTTGGAAGTTAAGGTATCTCTGGAAACACCTCCCAAAACTAACACAGAGACTATTTGGAGACTGTATTTAATCTGTGCACATATTTACAGAGACACTGATGCGTCGTATTCAGCCGACACTCCTTCATAAATGATGTTTGTCCTTCTCCTCCCTGTGCAAACACACGGCCTGCTAACTTTAAACCACAAAACTCACCCGTCCTCACATCTGAAAGCTCCGCTGCACTTCCCTCAAAAATGACCAACAGCTCTTTTCTTTGTACATCAGTAAACAGGAAGTGAGGTGTCAATGTCTGCAGAGCATTTAGTGTCTATGATTTGTATAATGCTTCTTTCACTTGCTGCCAGTGATGAAAGAGATTCTGATGTGCTTGTCCTTTTGCTGGAGGTTGTACTCCCAGGGATTTTTGACCCTAATGGCCATCCATTGGTAAGGTCTTGCTCAAACACACACACACACACACACACACACACACACACACACACACACACACACACACACACACACACACACACACACACACACGCACACAAAATAACGCTTGCTTGCAATGATTTAGATATGTACTGCCTCCTATCGCCAGGGAAAATACACATTGTCACTTTAAAGACAATGTTTTTGATGTTTTCTTACAGCGTTATTTAGAGCTGCCCCTGTAGAGGATGCAGATGATGGGACTAAATGGGAGACCAGATTCGCTGTTGTCAGTTGCAAAACCATTACTGGCTGGAGGATGTTCACACAGTAAATGAGGTAAAACTTGTTTTCTGTTTCACTTTTTATTTATTATTATTGTTACTGTTATTATTATTATTATTATTATTATTATTATTATTATTATTATTATTATTATTAAATCAGAAACGTCACTCCACC